CTCATCTGACCTCGCCCCAACAATCAGCACCATGGGTTCTTCTAAACAGTTGTCTAGAAAACTGAAACTGAAAATAGTTGACGCTCACAAAGCTGGAGAACGCTATAATTAGATAGCAAAGCGTTTTCAGATGTCAATATCCTCTGTTCGGAATGTAATTATGAAATGGCAGTCATCAGGAAAAGTGGAAGTTAAAGCAAGATCTGGAAGACCAAGAAAAATATCAGACAGAACAGCTCGCAGGATTGTGAGAAAAACTATTCAAAACCCACGTTTGACTGCACGATCCCTCCAGAAAGATCTGGCAGACACTGGAGTTGTGGTACACTATTCCACTATAAAGAGATACTTGTACAAATATGGTCTTCATGGAAGAGTCATCAGAAGAAAACCTCTTCTACGTCCTCACCACAGAAATCATCTTTTGAACTTTGCAAATGAACATATAGACAAGCCTGATGCATTTTGGAAACAAGTTCTGTGGACCGATGAGGTTAAAATTTAACTTTTTGGCCGGAATGAGCAAAGGTACGTTTGGAGACGAAGGGGCACAGAATTTAATGAAAAGAACCTCTGTCCAACTGTTAAGCATGGGGTTGGATCAATAATGCTTTGGGGTTGTGTTGCAGCCAGTGGCACAGGGAACATCTCACGAGTAGAAGGAAAAATGGATTCAATAAAATTTCAGCAAATTTTGGATGGTAATTTGATGCCATCTGTGAAAAAGCTGAAGTTAAAGAAAGGATGGCTTCTACAAATAGATAATTATCCTAAACACACCTCGAAATCCACGGGGGATTACATCAAGAGGCGTAAACTGAAGGCTTTGCCATGGCCTTCACAATCTCCTGACCTCAACATAATTGAAAATCTATGGATAGACCTTAAAAGAGCAGTGCGTGACAGACAGCCCAGAAATCTCAAAGAACTGGAAGACTTTTGTAAGGAAGAATGGGCAAAGATACCTCAAACAAGAATTGAAAGACTCTTGGCTGGCTACAAAAAGTGTTTACAAGCTGTGATACTTGCCAAAGGGGGCAGTACAAGATATTAACTCTGCAGGGTGCCCAAACTTTTGCAGACGCCATTTTTTTTTTGTTTTCTGTTATTTTGAAAGTGTAAATGATGGAAATAAAATCTAACTTTTGTTGACATATTGTAAGAATGTCTAATCTGTAATTTGACGCCTTTTGGAGATTTTTCCATCTTTCCTTGGCTTCTTTATGCACATGAATACAAATTTTTAGCTGGGGTGCCCAAACTTTCAATCCCCACTGTATATATATATATATATATATATATATATATATATATATAGCCATAATAAAAAGACACTCAAATCATGCTGGAATTCATATTTTGTTGGACCTAGGTACATGAAAATAAGGCTCCATGCAGTTTTTTTAAAACTGAAAAAATGCTGGATAAAAAAAGCTAGTAATAGTGCTGTTAGTAGGGTTTCAGCAGCATTTAGGAGTGTTAGCATTTTGTTAGCGTTCGTTTTTACAGTACATATAGGAAAAAAAAGCTTGAAAAAAGCTGTTAGGAGCGTTTAGCGTTTTTTTTCTGCTGAAAGAGGTCCTAAAAGTCTTCAAAAACAAATCGATTCTGCTCCTAAGCGCTGAAGCTTGAAAAACGCTACTAGCATAAAATAGTGTACATGGACACATAGGATATCACTAGCTTCTAGGAGCTTAAAAAAAGCTAGTGTGCATGAAGCCTTAAAGAATAGTGAGGTAGCTATCATGTGTCTGTATAAAGACATAAACATAGGAGAGTATAGACTGCATTCCCATGTCTTGGAGACTACTAGTCATCAAGATTCCATTAACAGCATGAGGGTGATTTGTAAAACCCCAGAGTTATTTACACAAAAACAAAAAAGATTCTTGGCAAAAAAAAAAAAAAAAAGTGGATACTAATTAGTTACTCCAGGCAACAACATGATGTTCTTTTATCTAATTTTTATGGACAGAATAAGTCAAGATTGGAACCCTGGGCAAGGTAGCAATTTTGCTCTCCTCCCTTCAATTCACCAAATGACAATAATAAAAATTACAATTGACACAGAAAAGTCATCCCATTTGCATTAAATATATATAAAAATTGGGCAGCACTAATAAACCAATCTTATCCCAACCTTATCACTTTTAATATACTCCTGCAAAAATCATCAAAAAAACTTACATCTTTGTGTTACATTCAAACAGTGAAAGTGTAAAACATAAAAACAAAAATATGTGCATATAACATCAGCAATAGTAAAGTCCAATTTGTATAATATACAACTATTTTGTGCCAATCCAAAGGAAGCGAAGAAAAAAAAAAATTCTGGGAATACTCTTCTGAGATAACACACTGTAGACAAACACCTTATCCAAATATATACCACTAGACAGTGCTCTCCTATACTGTATATCTGTATAAAGCGAAGGCAATAAGTATTTGATCCCCTGCTGATTTTGAATGCTTGCCCACTCACAAAGAAATGATCAGTCTAAAAAAATCGAATGGTAGGTGTATTGTAACACTGAGAGACAGAATAGCAACAAAAAATTCAAAAGAAATGTATGTCTAAGAAATTATGCAACGATTTGCATGTTCATAAGGGAAATAAGTATTTGATCCCCTGCACAAAACATGACTTAGTACTTGGTAGCAAATCCCTTGTTGGCAATCACAGAGGTCAGACACTTCCTGCAGTTGGCCCCCAGGTTCACACACATCTCAGGATGGATTTTGGCACTCCTCTTGGCTGATCCTCTCCAAGTCATTAATGTTTGGTGGCTGACGTTTGGCAACTCGAACTTTCAGCTCCCTCCACAGATTTTCAATCTGATTAAGGTCTGGAGACTAGCTAAGCCACTCCAGGACCTTAATGAGCTTCTTCTTGAGCCACTCCTTTGTTGCCTTGGCCATGTGTTTTGGGTCATTGTCCTGCTGGAACACCCATCCATGACCCATTTTCAATGCCCTGGCTGAGGGAAGAAGGTTCTCACCCTAGATTTGATGGTACATTGCCCCATCCCTCGTCCCTTTGATGCAGTGCAGTTGTTCTGTCCCCTTAGCAGAAAAACACCCACAAAGAAGAATGATTCCACCACCATGTCTGACAGTCAGGATGGTGTTCTTGGGGTCATAGGCAGCATTCCTCCTCCTCCAAACATGGCGAGTTGAGTTGATGCCAAAGAGCTTGATTTTGGTCTCATCTGACCACAGCACTTTCAACCAGTCCTCCTCTCCATCATTCAGATGTTCAGTGGCAAACTTCAGACGGGCCTGGACATGTGCTTTCTTGAACAGAGGGACCTTGCGGGCACTGCAGGATTTCAGTCCTTGTCGGTGTAGTGTGTTACCAATTGTTTTCTTGGTGACTGTGGTCCCAGCTGCCTGGAGATCATTGACCAGATCCTCATGTGTAGTTCTGGGATGATTCCTCACTGTTCTCATGATGATTGATACTCCACGAGGTGAGATCTTTCATGGTGCACCAGACCTAGGGAGACTGACAGTTGTTTGGTGTTTCTTCCATTTGCGAATGATTGCACCAACTGTTGTCACCTTCTCACCAAGCTGCTTGGCGATAGTTTGGTTGCTCAGTCCAGCCTTGTTTAGGTCTACAATCTTGTCCCTAACATCCTTGGACAGCTCTTTGGTCTTTGCTATGGTGGAGAGTTTGGAATCTGATTGTTTGATTGCTCCTGTGGACAGGTGTCTTTTATACAAGTAACAAAAAGATTAGCAGCACTCCCTTTAAGAGACTGCTTCTAATCTGAGCTTGTTACCTGTATGTAAGATACCTGGTAGCCAGAAATCCCGCTGAATGATAGGGGATCAAATTTATTTCCCTCATGAACATGCAAATCAGTGCATAATTTGTTAAGACATGCATTCTTTTGAAATGTTTGTTGCTATTATGTCTCAGTGTTGCAATACACCTACCATTCGATTTTTAGACTGATCATTTCTTTGTGAGTGGGCAAACATTCAAGATCAGCAGGGGATCAAATACTTCTTTTCTTCACAGTATATCTCACTTCAGGTCTCAAAATTTTATTAGGTCTAAACAAGCTCAATAGACATAATCGGGCAGAAGGAGACACTATTTAAATAAGGAAAATCATCTGGATTATATGAGCACTGCTAAATTTGATTCACAGCATGTGCTAATTTGCTATAATTAAAGTGTTACTAAACCCAGGACCCTGCATTCACTATGTCTGGTACATACAACATGGAAATACAATTATTTTAGTAATTATAAACTGCTAAATACCTTTTCTCATCAGCAGTTACAGCAGTCTTGAGACTTTTATCAGTGTCCAGCTAAGTGCTGGTTAAAGCTTATAGGAGTTTTTATTTTGCTCTAGGAGGATGCAGGACCCCTGACCTCTTTCTGGACAGTGCTGATTGGCCCTGTACTGGCCACATGCACTCTCCCATAAAGAAAAAAAATAAAAAAAACTTCTCTAGCAATACACACCAAACTGGGCATGTGCAGAGTGACTCCACACGATATGTCTTATCAGGAGGGGAGAATCACAGAAGTCAGGATCAAACAGCATTTTTACACAATGCAGAAGATTAACCCCTTAGGTTCCACAGGGAGTAGAACAAGCATGCTTTACTGCATATACAGACTGATTTTACTGTTGTGGGTTTAGTAACATTTTAAGGAAATTGGTATTTTGCTGTGCAGTGACAATTAGGATAATATTTACCCCATTTGCAGTGTCTGTAATTGCACTGCCAGCTCCATTTGACACAAACTGCGTACAAGTGCAACTTCCCTTTTAAAGTGATAGGTAAGTGCAAAGCTTTGACTAATTGGGCTATCCCCTTGATTTACTGCAGGAGTAAGAAGGTGGTAACTTGGCCCCCTTGACATCTACCAGACCCTAGGATCTTGCCTAGGCCACCTTGTGCTCCAGTTCTGTTTTTTGATTTTATACAGAGGTAGGGTTTTGCTTATCATGCATTGTATTAGTATACCTACTTACCCAGCAACTCTATTTGCAAATTCAACAATGTCCTCTTTTGTTCTCTGGCCTCTATAGTTATATGCCATATCACCTTTTAATCTTAAAGAGACAAACAAATGACACAATGAACAAGTGCATGTAGAAATAGATTCCACTTAACTAGTACATGTACAATATCTAAATGTGTCAATATAAAGGAAAACATTACAAATCATTTACAAAATATGCTTGCAGACTACAACATACAGACTAGAACTAGCTTGTCCAAAAGACATTAATAAAATACTGCATTGTTTCTAGTTAAAGAAACCAAAAGCCTTGAAATTTGGAACATAAAAACATTACTCACCTGGTCCCTTAAGACTCCCTTCTGTGGTGCAGTGCTGATCTTCTGTTAAGTGAATGACTCTCAGTGTCATTCATCTCAGATCTAAAGGGACCACATGCTGCATCATTATGTTACCCTTGGCTCAAAGGACATTCTTGCAGACAATGGTGCTGATGCCATCAAGTTAGTAATGCTCTCGCCCAGCCCCGGAGAAATGGTGACAGGGAAAAGGACTGTTTGTCAGAAGGTATATAAAAAATCTAATTCTACAACAGTTTCCCCCAAATAAATGTAGGGGTGGACAACTCCATAAAGTAGGTAGGGGAAGAACACGGGCTGGAATTGGGCTTAAGGTGAGAAATGGAAAACTTTTTAAAATTGCATTTTCATATGAAGGATCCAATCGGGTCTGCCTATCGGTTTTTTAGGTAGACCTGATCGGACAGTCCATTCACCCCTATGGACTGGCGGATGTAAACGGACTTGTGCTGATTTACCCCCGCCTACCTCTGGTCCGATCCGGTCCACCTAAAAAAAAAAAAAAAAATAATAAAATGGAAGGTGATCCTTCCTCTTGTATCTAGGTGGATCCGATCAGAGGGTTTTTTTTTTTTTTTTTTTAAATAAAGTGTGTGGAGTAGTTTTACAAATTGAAAGTGGGTTTGTTACACTGGGAACGTGAAATGCAGTGTATAAAAAAGTACTATGCTTGAAATAAAAGTACGGCTATTTCAGTAAATAAACTAAATTTGCTTTTTAAATTGTATGTTTATTACACATTGAATTACAAGTACTATCTACAGTCAGGTCCATAAATATTGGGACATCGACACAATTCTAACATTTTTGGCTCTATACACTACCACAATGGATTTGAAACAAACAAGATGTGCTTTAACTGCAGACTGTCAGCTTTAATTTGAGGGTATTTACATCCAAATCAGGTGAATGGTGTAGGAATTACAACAGTTTGCATATGTGCCTCCCACTTTTTAAGGGACCAAAAGTAATGGGACAGAATAATAATCATAAATCAAACTTTCACTTTTTAATACTTGGTTGCAAATCCTTTGCAGTCAATTACAGCCTGAAGTGTGGAACGCATAGACATCACCAGACGCTGGGTTTCATCCCTGGTGATGCTCTGCCAGGCCTCTACTGCAACTGTCTTCAGTTCCTGCTTGTTCTTGGGGCATTTTCTTTTCAGTTTTGTCTTCAGCAAGTGAAATGCATGCTCAATCAGATTCAGGTCAGGTGATTGACTTGGCCATTGCCTAACATTCCACGTCTTTCCCTTAAAAAACTCTTTGGTTGCTTTTGCAGGATGCTTTGGGTCATTGTCCATCTGCACTGTGAAGCGGCATCCAATGAGTTCTGAAGCATTTGGCTGAATATGAACAGATAATATTGCCCGAAACACTTCAGAATTCATCCTGCTGCTTTTGTCTGCAGTCACATCATCAATAAACACAAGAGAACCAGTTCCATTGGCAGGCATACATGCCCACGCCATGACACTACCACCACCATGCTTCACTGATGAGGTGGCATGCTTAGGATCATGAGCAGTTCCTTTCCTTCTCCATACTCTTCTCTTCCCATCATTCTGGTACAAGTTGATCTTGGTCTCATCTGTCCATAGGATGTTGTTCCAGAACTGTGAAGGCTTTTTTAGATGTCGTTTGGCAAACTCTAATCTGGCCTTCCAGTTTTTGAGGCTCACCAATGGTTTACATATTGTGGTGAACCCTCTGTATTCACTCTGGTGAAGTCTTCGCTTGATTGTTGACTTTGACACATACACCTACCTCCTGGAGAGTGTTCTTGATCTGGCCAACTGTTGTGAAGGGTGTTTTCTTCACCAGGGAAAGAATTCTTCGGTCATCCACCACAGTTGTTTTCCATGGTCTACCGGGTCTTTGGGTGTTGCTGAGCTCACCGTTGCGTTCCTTCTTTTTAAGAGTGTTCCAAACAGTTCTTTTGGCCACGCCTAATGTTTTTGCTATCTCTCTGATGGGTTTGTTTTGTTTTTTCAGCCTAATGATGGCTTTCTTCACTGATAGTGACAGCTCTTTGGATCTCATCTTGAGAGTTGACAGCAACAGATTCCAAATGCAAATAACACACTTGAAATGAACTCTGGACCTTTTATCTGCTCATTGTAATTGGGATAATGAGGGAATAACACACACCTGGCCATGGAACAGCTGAGAAGCCAATTGTCCCATTACGTTTGGTCCCTTATCAAGTGGGAGGCACATATGCAAACCGTTGTAGTTCCTACACCGTTCACCTGATTTGGATGTAAATACCCTCAAATTAAAGCTGACAGTCTGCAGTTAAAGCACATCTTGTTAATTTCATTTCAGATCCATTGTGGTGGTGTATAGAGCCAATAATGTTAGAATTGTGTCGATGTCCCATTATTTATGGACCTGACTGTATGTTAAGAACATTTCAACTATACATGAGAACAGGTAACCGCCCCCCTTTCGCTCATAATAGATTAAAAGCTTACTGCCAAGATGCATTATCAGTTATTGACAATACTGATCCAGAAGCATATATTGCTCTATGAAGAGCTTGCTTGATCATTGTTCTCCCTGATTTTCAGGTGTTATTTTCTCTATAAATGAAGGGATTGTGTATTTTTGGGAGTCCGTGGTTTGTAACACTTCTTTCCTTGAAGATGCTGCTGGTGAAGAAACACTTTGTGATGATCCAGAATTAGCAGACAGAGTGTCTCTGGAATGAAAGCTATGAAGGAAAAAGAAACTTGCACTTTCATTCTGGTCCTCATCATTTCATTACATAAAGTATTTGCTAATGTCTTTAGGGAACCTCTGGAATACAAGGATGTGTTTTGTCAACCTTGTAGCATTTGGAAAAGAATATTTTTTTTTTGACCAGACTATAGGTAAACATTATGCTGTGCTGGTAGAGAACATTAATAGGTATAATTTAAAGATTATAAAGACAAACTAATGTGTCAGATAAATGTATCCTCTTACCGGTCAATGAAGGCTTGGGAGGACAGAAACTATCTACTGTACCCCAACAATCACCCAACTGTAGGAAGTACAACATGGAACCCACAAGCAAACTAAACTGGAGCCTTTCCCCTGCAGTGCCCCTAGTGGCAGACATTTTTTTTTTGTTTAAGGACTGAATTGAGAAGTACAATTTTACTTGAACAGTTTTACAGGATTTGCTTGTCTTCAGCTGAGAGAACTTGCAAAAATGTAAGAATTTACATAAAGTCTCATCTTTCATTAGGGTCTTCATGTTATATAATTTAAATAACAGGTCATAGATATATTATTTATCATTGTAAAGAACATATTCCACACCTTTTTTAAAATTTTCAGGAAAAACAAAAAGGCTTTAAACCTCCCCCCCAAAAAAACAAACAAACAGTTTTTTTCCTGGGCCTTCCGATCTCTACATCAGGTGTAAACGGACAGCGGAGTCCATTTACTCCCAGCCACCCATGTTGCAAAGTGGGCTCTGTCCTTGTCCGCTCTATTTATGCATGAATGTGTCATCCGCCCGCTCAGCTGATCCGATCAGCAGGGGATCAGCAGACAGATCCCCTGCTGATCTCAATGGTGTGAAAGGCGTCTGCAAAGGTAATCGATGTTTTTCATGCACATATATTGATTTGTATTCTCTCTCTATTCACTGAAGGCCTCATCCATAAAAAGATTTTCTAGATCCTGATAACAGCCAATCATCTACCTGAACTGATTTTCAAACCTTGGCCATAAAAACAATTTGACCTTTATTGTTTGCTGATCTTTATATCAGAACAGTCCTCAAGAATTTTGCAGAGTAGCAGTTAAGCTAAAAACAAGCCACATGTAGTGTCATAGCCTATCGATGGCAGCAAACTGGGAAATGTATCCCATTTCTCAAGGGCATGTGTGAACTATGCCATGGCCACAAAGTGAGATCTAGACAAGTATGGTGATTTGGGGAGGGGTGAGCTACACCTGATGGTGGGGTGCAGGCAAAACTTTCCACAAAGTTTTCTTACCCTTTAGTAATTCAAGAAATATTGATTTATAATCATTTAATTAAATATGCAGGTACAAGGTAATAAAAACAAATGTTAAACACCAGCCCATTTTTGTCCCAATTTTATTGTGTCCCTATTGGAAAGATTTGAAGTTTCACTTTTAACAGCAAATGAAATTACTGGTTTTCTTATAACAGTGATGAAAAAGGAGGGAAGAGGATGGAAGAATGGAGGAAGGAAGAGGAGGGAAGGAAGAGGGAGGGAAGGAAGAGGAGGGAAGGAAGAGGAGGGAAGGAAGGGAGGAAGGAAGGAGGAGGAAGGAAGGGGACAGGAAGGAAGGGGACAGAAGGAAGGGGAAAGAAGGAAGGGGAAAGAAGGAAGGGAAAGAAGGAAGGGGAAAAGAAGGAAGGGGAAAGAAGGAAGGGGAAAGAAGGAAGGGGAAAGAAGGAAGGGGAGGAAGGGAAAGGAGGAAGAGGAAAGAAGGAAGGGGAAAGAGGAAGGGGAAAGAAGGAAGGGAAAGAAGGAAGGAGGAAAGAAGGGGAAAGAAGGAAGGAGGGAAAAGGGAAGGAAAGAAAGGAAAGAAAGAAAGAAAGAAAAAGGAAAGAGAGAGGAAGGGAGAGAAAGAAGAGGGGAGAGGAGGGAGGAGAAGGGAGAGAGGGAGAGGGAGGGAGAAGGAAGGAGGGAAGAGGAAAGAAGGAAGGAGGGAAGAGAAAGAAGGAAGGAAAGAAAGGAAAGAAGAGGAGGGAGGAAAAAGAAAGGGAAGAGGAAAGAAGGAAGGAGAGAAAGAAAGGGAAGGAGGGAAAGAAAGGGAGGAAAGAGGAAAGAAGGGGAGGGAAGAAAGAAGGAAGGAGAAGAAAGAAAGGGAGGAGGAAAGAAAGGGAGGAAAGAAAGGGAGAAAGGGAAGGAGGGAAGAGGAAGGAGAAAGGGAGAAGAGGAAAGGGAGAAAGAGGAAAAAAGGGAGGAAAAGAAAGAGGAGAGGAAAAGGAAAGAGGAAAGAAAGAGGGAAGAGGAGAAAGAAAGGGAAAAGGAAAGAGGGAGGAAAGGAGAAAGAAGGAAGAAAGGAAGGAAGGGAAAGAAAGAAGGAAGGAGAAAGAAGGAAAGGAAGAAAGGAAGAAGGAAGAAGGAAGGAAGGAAGAAGGAAGAAAGGAAGAAAGAAAGAAAGAAAGAAAGAAAGAAAGAAAAGAAAGAAAGAGAGAGGGAGAGAAAGAGAGAGGGAAAGAAAGAAAGAGAAAAGAAAAAAGAAAAAAAAAATATAGGACTTACAGTTTTATTGTTGGAAATCCACGGACCCCAAATTCTGAAGCAATACCTGCAAAGAGCACAAAGGATGAATTGTTTTATTTTAATATACCAATTATTTCAAGAAGATACAAAAAATGCTGGAAAATGGTTTCACAGTATATCTAATCTAATTACAACATTATCTTTTGTGAACTGGCACATAAGCTGATGTACCAACATCCCTAATAGCTACTTCTTAGAAGTACAGCATGCAAACTCAGGACTTGGAACAGGACCACAGGATCTTTTGAACAAATATATAAGGCTAAATCATTATATATGGGTTCCTTGGCTTGCTCCCACAGTCCCTGTCATCTTGTCTTTGCTTTTCCTCCTGTCTTTCTACTTTGGGATTCCAGCCCCGCACAGCTCCCAGAGTAGACAGCATGGTGTTGCTCTTCTCCTGATGAAGTGAAAAATTGATGAAACGCGTTGAAAAATGTGAAGTGTTGCTCCACTCAGTAGAACTGTGCAAGAACATCTCCCTGACCACAACGGTGAAAATAATACTTCATTTAAACAGTGATCTAGTAGGCTTGTGACACCGCTCAAAGTTGGGAAATATAAAGTAACCCTGCTGATGCACCGAGAGTGCGAGCAGACATCCTGACACTTATCCAGGGGTGTAGATTCACAAGGAGAGATAAACACCGCTCAGACCAGCCCACATGGATTGAATGGAGAGTGTCTGTGTTGGCCTCAGCCTTCACTTTGGCCACACCCTCTGATGCATTTCACCCTGCCCATCAGGGCTTGGTCAAAGAGGCCAAGCCCCCTGCTGGGCGGGGCAAAACACATCAGAGTGTGTTGCCGGAGCAAGGGCTGAGGCCAACATAGACACTCTCCATTCAATCCATGTGGGCTGGTCTGAACAGTGTCCATCTCTCCTTGTGATTCCATTTAAACAGATGATCTTTGGATGTACAATTTAATGTTGTGTAAAACACTGTGAAAAAAACATTTTAACTGCTTTTGAACTAATAAAAATGTAAAATCACTCTTAACCGTATACATAGTAATGTACCCGTTAAAACTCCCATGGGTACTGTTAGTTTGATGTAGATATCTCAAAAACATTAAACATTGTAAAACAGAACTCTTAAAAGGGAAAGTTTTTCTTTTCAATACTCACACCTAAAAGAGATCTGCTTGATATAAATAATAACTATATAAACATGTGGTAAGGTTTTCAAAAACTTGTTTTCATGTGCACTAATAATATATGTATATGAGGGCAGCCATATTTCCATTACATAGGCAGGCTCTGCTTTCATTTTATAAAGGTGTATACTTGTGAGCTACTATGGTGTAAAAAAGGTGCTTTCGGTTAATTATTTTAAATAAAGTGGTGCATCAACACATAAAACACATACTCAAAACATTGTGTGAAAATTAGACAAAATAAAATAATGTATGTGTGTTGCGCTCCTCAAAATATTGTTTGGTGATATATAATATAATATAATATATTATGACGTATGTTTGAGATAAATTAAATAAATAAATAAAATAAATAAATATAATCTCATAATACTGTAATGTGGATAAAGTAAAAACGTGCCCAGTGCTATAATTAATATAAAAAAAATAACTAAAAATAATGAGTATAATAATGATAAAATATATGATATAATGTGCCACAAATCAAGTAAACAAAGAGAAACCTCTTTGATCAATAATGAATATGTGCAAAAAAATTAATGCATGTGCAAAAAATGCAAATATTGCCCTAAACAATGAGAAATATATATATAATGAAATGCAATACTCAATTAATTATTAATAAATAATACTAAAAAACGTGCAAATCATGTATGGTTATCACTCCACTTGTACCACCTGAGACGGTGATTAGGATTACGTGCTCCTAATTCTTATTTAGGCTGAAATATAAACGTCCCAATCTATGTAGATATATGAAAAGTCTAAAGTGATAGTAGACTGTGATGTTGCTTTCCTTCCACTAGATGGCCTCCCAGTTTCCTTCCGAGTATGAGGGATGAGTGGATAGATATAGGTATCTCCCCTCCTGTGGTTTTGGGTCTGTCTCCTATTTCCTCTTCCTCCCCTTTGCTCCTCCGATTTAGGCCATGAAAAAGAAGAGAAATCCCCACATGGTGCTTATATCCTTTAAAAAGGTTTTAATGTGTCTCCTGACAATTGCACACTCACATTGCCAAAGATCAAATACAAAGCGTTTTTTTTTTTAAATTATGTGCCCGCGCACAAAGACAGTACTCGCCGTTCCTCTGATGTTGGCGTCGTGACGTCAGAGCCCCTCCCCTACGCGTTACGCCACAGGGTCACGTGGCTTCCTCAGGGGGATGTAATACGACGCCATGATGCTGTCGCCCTTATATAGGCCATTTCAGCGCCATTTTCCCGGAGTCCGCACGGAGGCGGCCATCTCTATGGGGCCAAATACTTGTTAATAGTCCTGCGATATATACATATCCAGGACATATTGCTTATATTATTTATCAAAAATTAACACCCTTTTACTCTGACTTGATGTCACTAGTGCTGTAATCGGGCCGGGCACCATCAAATACAATAACTATATAAACAAAATCCTTTAATTAAACATATAAATAATCATGGCACTTGTAGTGCCACCATTTAAATTTAAAAAAGTTTTTTTTTTTATTCAGTACTTTTAAAAAATATAACTGCAAGAAGGAACTAATTAAATAGATTATAGGGGAAAATTAATAATATGAATAATTATGTGTGAATGTTTTTATTAAAAAATTGGCAATGAAAGTAAAATGGAATAAAAATAAAAATAAAATAAGATAAAAAAAAAATAAATTAAAAATAAAAATAATAATAAAAAAAAAAAAAATAAAAAAATAAAAATAATAGAAAAAAAAAAAAAAAAAAAACAAAAAAAATAAATATAAATAAAACAAAAAAAATAAAAAAAAATAAAAATAAAAAAAAATAAGAATAAAAATAAAAATAAGAATAAAAAAATAAATATAAATGAAAATAAAAGTAAAAAATAAATATACAATAAAATAAAAAATAAAAATAAAATAGAATAAAAATAAAATAAAATAAAATTGAAAAAATAAAAAATAAAAATAATTTGATCCCCTTACTATTTGGTCATTCAGTCCTGTCACAATACATATGTGGATGTTATACTATGTTTTTATAGTTTAATTATATTTCACTCTACATATGAAAAATATGTGATGTCAGAAGATATTTTTATATTTCAAGTTGATCTAAAAAAAGCCATTACCATCAATTGCACCACTCTTAACTAAAGTTACTGCCGCAATGACGTTGTAACTGTATGTGCATGTCCGCCCGCATAAAAATAGATATGTGCGTGGACATGAACACTCAGCCGTCCCGGCATACTATTAATATTATGTATCTATCTAAGTCTCCTGAAGTGATGTACTCTTCATTAATAATTACTGATGAAACAGGATAAGTCAAATTCCTTATTCAGGCCTTTTGGATCCAAACAATCCATTTCATATATCCATTTTGACTCCTTCTTACTAATCTCTCTAATTATATTGTCCCCTCTCCAATGTTTAATGTGCCTTTCTATTCCCCAGAATTGTAAATGGGAAGCATCTGAGTTATGGAATAAGCGGAAATGTTGTGATACGTGATGATACTTGTAACCTCTATTTATGTTGTATACATGTTCTTTAATCCTTTCTTTCAAAGCTCTTTTGGTTCTGCCTATATATATGAGATTACAAGGGCATCTTAAAGCGTAAATGACTCCTCTCGTATCACACGAAATGAATTGTTTGATCTTATATTCTTTGTTGTTATTGGTATTACTGAATGTATATCTTCGCCTGGGGTTATTACGAACCCTACTGCAGCTGTAGCAACGTCCACATGTGTAAAAACCTACACCCTGAAATAAACTGGTAATCTTAGAATGGGGAGGTTCCAAAATATTTTTTACTAGTCTGTCTCTCAGGATTTGGTGCTTTCTTGTATATATATTTCGGTTTATCAGGTATTATGTCTTTTAGATGTTTATCTAGCTTTAGAACTTTCCAGTGTTTGGAAATGATTTTTTGTACCGCTTTATATTGTTTGTTGTAACCCAAGACTACTGGTACCTCATATATTTTTTGTGCTTATCTTGGGTTTATCCCTTATCATCATGTCTCTATCCATATGGCCTACTATATTTCTTTCAATCTCTATTTTGTCCGGTGCATATCCTTTATCTATGAATCTTTGTTTTAGTACTTCACTTTGTGCTCTATAGTCAATTTCTTTAGTACAATTTCTTTTAAGCCTTATGAATTGACCCTTAGGCATATTGTTAATCCAGGGACGATAATGGCAACTTGTGGTTGGTATATAAGCATTGCGGTCTGTTTGTTTAAAGGAGTTTTTTGTATACATCATATTTCCTTCTTTTACCATTAGTATATCCAAAAAAAATTTTTTTTTCCGTGCGGACTCCGGGAAAATGGCGCTGAAATGGCCTATATAAGGGCGACAGCGTCATGGCGTCGTATCACATCCCCCTGAGGAAGCCACGTGACCCTGTGGCGTAACGCGTAGGGGAGGGGCTCTGACGTCACGACGCCAACATCAGAGGAACGGCGAGTACTGTCTTTGTGCGCGGGCACATAATTTAAAAAAAACGCTTTGTATTGATCTTTGGCAATGTGAGTGTGCAATTGTCAGGAGACACATTAAAACCTTTTTAAAGGATATAAGCACCATGTGGGGATTTCTCTTCTTTTTCATGGCCTAAATCGGAGGAGCAAAGGGGAGGAAGAGGAAATAGGAGACAGACCCAAAACCACAGGAGGGGAGATACCTATATCTATCCACTCATCCCTCATACTCGGAAGGAACTGGGAGGCCATCTAGTGGAAGGAAAGCAACATCACAGTCTACTATCACTTTAGACTTTTCATATATCTACATAGATTGGGACGTTTATATTTCAGCCTAAATAAGAATTAGGAGCACGTAATCCTAATCACCGTCTCAGGTGGTACAAGTGGAGTGATAACCATACATGAT